GTTCCGTGTGGCAATTGACGCCCAAGGGCGTGACCGTGTTGGATCGCTTCTGCTCACGCAACGGTATCCAACAAAAGTCGATATCCGACTTGGTTGGCGCAACACTCTCGCAACTCGTCATTCTCGAGCGGGACGGCCAGACGGACAAGCTCATCACGGATCGCGGCACGATTGAGGTCATTTTCAGGAGATTCATTGGAACACACGGCCCCAATGTCAAATCGAGCGTCAGCTCAGCCGACTCGGACTCACTTAGCGACTACAAGGATGGCTTGACTGGTGTCAAGATGGCTAGCGAGCGTAAGGTGAACGGCAAGACGTACAAAGATACCTTTACTGGCAAGGCCGCCACTGATTGGTTGATGGACTGCTGCACAACCGTAGACAGGCGGGAGACGTACGACATCGCGTCCCTGTTCGTGGAGTACGACTTGATGGAGCCCGTGGTACAAGACCGTGCTCATATGGCACAATATCCCAGCAATAACCTATTCCAGCCCACAAAGCATGCCATTTACCAATTGACAGCAAAGGGCAAGGATCTGATCAACGGTCTCGGTTCGCGGGGAAGAACGTCAGAAAGCGAAGTCGTCACACCCTCTCGTAACGCTATCGCGCGAGACTCCAACACCCAACGGCTCGACAAGATTCTCAACGACGCGGCCCTTCGTCTGCTCTTCAGAGAAAACCTGCGCGAAACACATTGCGAGGAGAATCTTTCCTTTTACCTCGACGTCGACGACTTTGTTCGAAGCTGCCGGCAGGCGATTCGGATCGCGCAGAAGAACCCCAATGCGAGCTCAATGGACGGCATCAAGGAGATCATGGCCCAGGCATACGGGATTTATAACGCATTCCTCGCTCCCGGCTCTCCCTGCGAGTTGAACATTGACCATCAGCTTCGCAACAACCTGGCGACTCGAATGACCAAGGCTGTCGGACAGGATGTAGCCATGATTGATACTTTGCAAGAGGTCATGTCTTTGTTTGAAGATGCCCAGAACGCAGTTTTTAAACTGATGGCAAGCGTATGTTTATTGTTCCGACTGATGCACCGTGGAATGTGAGGATTTTATACTAACCCAACTTGTTTTTGCAGGACTCGGTTCCCAAATTCCTGAGGAGCCCCAAGTACGAACACACCCTGAAGAACTACGATTTCGACTCAGTCACCAGCGGCGGCCGCGGCTTGGAGCGAAGCACGAGCCGATCGAACCGCAAATGAACGGAATATTTGATATTACGCAACTCTGCTCCCCCAAACTCAATATGAGACGCATTTTTTTTCTTGCACAATCTCGTCACAACAAGACCGATCGCGTTCCTAGGATCGACTCCATCGATACTGGCACACGCAGGCCGTTTGGCAATTCTCGGCACTTTCCTCGACCCATAATCTTGTGCATACGTAGTGGATGGTCTTTGATTCATCAACGGGCGGTGGGCAAGATCTTTCGGTTTTTTCCAACAGAGTAGCCCCCACCCAGGGCTGATCTTGGCCGCCATCTTGATTATTTTGGAAATGAAGGCGTTGGGGATGGAACTATTCTTAGAGGGAGACCCCTTGAGTCGGCAAAACCGATTCTGCTTGCGCATGACCTCGCCGTCATCATCACACGCGGACTCGACTTTTTTTATTCCGTTTTTTTTTTTTTGGTTTTTTTTCTTCTCTTCTAATTTCTCATTTTGTTTCAATCATAACTGGCTGGGTGGGGCGGACGATCATAGAAGGACGGCATGAAAGAGCGCAGTCTCAACCACGACCCCCGAGACGAGCTTACGGCGACGGATGAACGATTTTGTTCGTCAGAAGAGTGGAGGATGAGGGCGATTTCGCTGCCAATTGGTACGCCGGAAGTGGATGTCGTGTGGACATCGCGAAGCGAGTAACTTGCTGTGGGCTAAGGGGGAGGACAAAAAGGGAGACGAGCGGTCGAGGAGCAATTCTGGCCCAACTGTACATATCTCAAAGCTCCACGAACCGAGTGGGGGCGCACAACGCTCGACCTTTTCAACTCGCCTCCGAATGAAAGGAAAGCATATGAAAGCGGTACCACAAACTTGCCATGCCGGTGCTCGCATGCTCGTGTCCCCTGTGTGACAGGAATGCTTCAATGATGAAATCTGCAGAGCTCGAAATAGGATGGGAGAAAGGAGTCGAGGCAGGAAGGTGTGTTTACTCTTGGCCCCCTTCCATGTGTTTGTCAACTCATTCGTCCCATCTACCTTTGGTTTCCGTCTTTGCCGACTTTCTTCCCTCCTGGACCTGAAATGCTGGAATGCGCCACATTACCGGCGGCCGGTGGAAACATTCTTGGCAGCTCAACGGACCACAACAAACACGGGCCCGGGGCGACTCCACCAACATTCCCGGCCGCGAGTCCGGAGCTTCTCATTGGTCCCGAAGAACCAAGATTCACAACGTCCAATCTTGCCGTGTTCCAGAGAACCAGAGGCTCCTTTTTTCGAGTGGAAAGGTGGGAAGTAGTCGTCGTGTTCCTGAGACAGTTTCGTTGGTTCCCGGCTTAGCATTTCCTCTCCCTTTCCTCCGTCTTGCAAGGCTAAGCCTTTTCGTCAGCTTGTCTGGGTATCGCCAACCCCTGAGCGTGCCGTTCCGGTGGATATCTTTTGATTTATTTTGGTTCTGAGTTGAACGTTTGGTGTGTTTTCATGTGTTTTGGTATCGGTATGAGATTGACATAAGAAGGAGGCTCTTGAACCGTTTTCTTGTGACACCTCTCTTTCCCTTTCATCCCTCACACACACACATCTCACATACATCCATCCAAGAACTCTTTCGTTTGTTCGGAGGTTCCCCCCCTTTCGTTTTATTTGCTTCAATTGGCCTCAGTCACTCTCTTGAAAAGAAAATCCAAAACATTGCAACTCACTCTCCTTAACAAGAAAACCAAAAACTTCAAACAATCATTAACTAGCTCTGTTTGCTCTCCGGACAATCCCTCACGCTCCCTCGAAACTCACTCGCTCAGCAAGTAACTCGATAACCGACAACAATCAACAACTACAACTCACACACACACACTCTACACCAACCAACCAACCGACAAAATGCAGATCCAATCCGCCCTCGTCTCCCTCGCCCTCGTCGCCGGCACGGCCTCGGCCTACGAGCACGTCTACACCAACGGCACCTACACCATCACCAAGGTCTGGGACGCCGTCACGACCTACTGCCCCCAGCCCACCACCCTCTGCTTCAACAACCGCACCTACACCATTGAGCAGCCCACCACCTTCATCATCCCCGACTGCCCCTGCACCCAGACCTACGTGAGTTTACCCTTCCTCATTCTCTACCTCTGACGAACATCCCCTCTGGTCCGAAGCCATGGCTAACACGTACACCAAAGACCACCAACCAGTGCTCCGAGTGCGCCCACGCGACCGGCTACGTCGTCCCCGCTCCGCCCGCCCAGACCGACGTGCCCCCCGCCGTCCCCACCCAGACCGGCCTCATCACCTGCCCCGGCAGCCCCAACTGCCCGCCCGGCGCCTCGGGATCCGTCCTTCCCCCTGCTCAGACCGGCTCCGCTGGCGTCGTCTGCCCCGGTAGCCCCAACTGCCCTCCCGCTGCTTCCGGCGGTGCTGGCGGAGCCGGCGGTGCTGGTGGTGCTGGTGGTGCTGCCTCCGGTGGTGCTGGTGGTGCCGGCGGTGCTGCTACCCCCAGCCAGACCGGCGCGCTCGTCTGCCCCGGCAACCCCAACTGCCCGGCCACCGGCACCGCTGGCACCAACGGCACCAAGCCTACGACCGTCGTCGTCGCCGGCGCCGAGAAGAACGCCGCTGCTGCTGGTGTTGCTCTCGTTGCCGGTGTCGTTGCCGTTTTGGCTCTGTAAAGGGGGGTTTTGAATGCTTCGGCTTCTCTTCCCTCTTTGGTTGCAATATTCCCACCTTTTCCGTGGCTTTTTCCTTTCCTCCTTGGGGACTAGACATGCACTATTCCTCTTCTCTCTCGGCCGTTTTGGTAATGGGGGGAGACTTCCACAGAAGGAGAGGGAAACTTGAAGACTCATGTGCGTCGGGGGGGAGCATGTTGCGGAGTTGAGGGGAGTGAAGTGAAGCCAGATTCGCCTGCGCCTTCTGCACTCTTTGAAACTTTGTGCTTTTCTCCCTCTCTCTGTGGTATGAGTTGGAAGGTTTTGTTTTCTCCTTCTTACAATCGTCATCTCTTCCTTGCGGACGGCTTTCGAGAAAGAAGAAACTTTTTGTAGTCCTGGAATCCATGGGTGGTTTGGAACCCCGCTCATCCAAGCTTCGGAAAAGTGTGTGGATCCAACATCATTATTGTTTCAGTGTGTGTGTGTTTCTTGTTTTGTCGTTCATCATCATTGTTATCACGCCCCGTCATTGTATCACGCCGATTACGCCCAGAGATGAGGATACATCTGAACCTTGCATTGGGGGAAATTAGACGAGGAAGGAGAGAGAGAGTGAGAGAGAGTAGCGTGGTCGGAAGAGACAGCAGTAGCATTTCTTACGGCAGTATCCCGCTAGAACCCGGGTGAAAGACTGGGGGAAAGGGGCGGGATGGACACTGCTTCAGTGGATGGAAAGGGGACGAAATGAAGGATCTCCTTTGTTAGAATCTTGTTTTATTGCTGGGTTCTGTCATAAGGGGGGGAAGGGAGGATCGAAAGGGGTTTCGATTGGTATTATTAACCCACTTCAGCATCATTATCACTCTGCATCCTTATCACCGCCATCATCATCATTATCATCCTAATCGCCTTTATATACTTTATCCTCTTTTTTTTAGACTTTATAGAATTATCACTTTTGTTGTGTGTGTGTCATATCTGGTCCCATGATGCCTCTTTTTTCGTTCAGTGAAATGTCTGTGAATTGGGATATATTGGGTATAGCCCTCCTCGTAACCGTGTAGTGCTTTTCTCTAGAGGCTAAGCTCATGTTATATCTCTCCTCAGTAGATTCTCGGACTCAGAAAACATGCTGTCTATCATCAGTATTCGAATTTGCGACTAAAGCACAATGGGCTCCATTTCAGCTACAATGAAGTCGCAATATCTGCAGGAAAGACCTCTTCTCTATCAGACTCGAGCTTTATAGACACGATCACATTCACTTTGTGAATCATAGATGTTGATGGTCTGTTATCATTACGAAAGACGGACTACTCTAAATGTATACGGTGATTGCTCCTGTACGGGCCTTTGATTTTCTCTGCCTCGGTGAAATGCGACCCGTAGAGCAATCGTTGTCCTTTCCCATCATATAGCCTGAAATTGAAGAACCCCACACGTTCGTACCTGTAGGATCCTCGAAGTGCCATGTTCCCGCAGTCGTCGATGATGTAGCCCAAAGGATGCAATATCAAACCGGCAATCTCGACGCCCTCTGCGTTGACGGGAGGTTCCCTGGTACACATGAGTGGTAAGATGACCACCTCCACGGGGAGTAAATCCTTCCGATAAAAGTCAAAGACGAAAGGGTTGTAGTCCAGTCGCTCCGACCTTCCATCAAGACTCAGCGAAACCCCGTCGTTGGACATGTCCGACACTTTGAGAGTATAAACGCTGCCGCTCATGCTGATATAGCCTCCGAGTGGTATGCGGCGTCCTGCGGGAGCATTGCTATGGGCGCTATGGTAGATATGACGCGCGAGATGTAAGATGCTCTCGTCGCTGTTCACGATGGCCTTGAACGAGACCTTGCCTTGCACGGAAGCCCACGACCAAGATGGGGCGGGATGAGCAGGTCGGGGCTTCTTTTCCGCCGCAGGGTTCAAGCTGCAGCAGATTTGTCGGGCGATGTGTGTATTCCAGATACCGGAAATGTATCGACTCAAGGAGGTATTAGAAAAGATGCTGGTCATTCCATTCAAGGCCGCGAGCTTGTCCTTTTCGTAGGTCAAGCTACAGCCCGAGTACTCCTCAACCAGGTGCTCCCAGACAGTTGCGAACGTTTATTCATCCTCTGGCGAATCCTCTTTCTCTTAGGGGCGCATTCTGGGTATTCGGGTGACGCCTTCCTCGCGCTCGACCACGTCGTTGTCTGGTGCCACCGATATGCCGTCGGGCAAGCTCTCACAGGCCAGGCGCCGTCTACATTTCCAAAAGACTTGGTCTTTACCGAAGTGAAGAGTCCTTTTGGGCAGTAAGCGCTCTTGGAAGACCCAACCGCGCTCGTACAGCGGGGCTCTGTTGTAGTCGTTTAGGATGGACGTGTGATCCCAGACGGTGTATTCGCCAGACGGGACATCCGTCCTCTCTGAGCAAACAACAAACGATTCCAAGACGGATGGGTCTCTCGCTGTGAAGAGTCCACCATCGGGTCCCTCGGAGTGTGCGGCGACGATGTTGCAGGTGGAGTTGGAGTACACGTGGTGCATTCTGGAGGACTCTTTCTTCCAATCTAATGGGCTATCTTGAAGGATGCATAGTGAGTTGACCCAGATATGACGAATATTGAAGTGATGAGCCAGCGTGATCGTATCGCGGAAGGTCTTGGGAAGACTCTTGATAGCTGTGTTGTTCTGGAATGCGGGCAGTGTGTCCGACGTGAGCTGTACGAATGGCGAAGAGCCCCAGCGGTGACTCAGCGTGAGATAACCTCCATAACTGGCAGGCGTTTGATGATGCTCGGTGGTGATGACCTTCCACCAGTAACTACCTGGGTCTCCAACATCAATGAGCCTGGAAGGTAGCCAGGTCGAATGGCTGTACAAAACTTTGCACTCGGTATGGTTTCGGACACAGTCATTGAGCCACTTTTGCATTGTTATGAAAGCATCTTGCGAGTCCATGCGTGGACTCAACCACGCAGGTGGCTCGTCATCTAGTATCTCGTCAGTCTTTTCAGTAGTAGACTACCGAGTTCCGAGTCCTCGGACTGGATGCTCATCGGGGCAGTATAAATCACCGGGACTACGCTTGAGGAGATTAAAACAAACCAAGTCATCCAGATCATCCTCTCTCCACGCGCGTCCTGTATGCTGTTCAGAACTCGCAAAGAATAATCTCACGGGATTGGGTCTTGGATGAAGAATGAGATCCTCGTTCAGAACAGTCGAAATGCTCGGATCCGCAGAGTGACGCGCAAAGCGTTTATAGAAATAACATCCCTTTTCGACTGCCTTGGCGAGATCCTCGGATGACTCGTGATGATGATTGCGACGTCTTCGACGGAAGTCGTCGGCCTTGACTGCCTCTTTGCTGAAAGCATCCTTGCACGCGGTGCAGAGAACGGTGTCTTTTGAGTGGGTGAAGACTGGACGATGGATCTGACGACGTTTTGGGGGTGGGCTGTCGTCGAATTGTATAGTCCGTTTCATAGGCCCGTTTTCGGCAGATGATTGATTTGATTCTTGAACCATTTGATGATATGACTAGGTTGGTTTTCGAATAAAGTTCAACACCGATGACTGACAGAGTGTTTGTTATCTCGAATTATACATAGGTGTTGTTGATAGACACTATACGCAGACCGCCCCTTTACCCGCAGAGTCGGTCACGACTTCGCAAGGGACGCTAGGGATTAGAGGCAATTGGTATGGAAAGCAAAGCCCGACTAAAAAATTGTAACAATTAAGTGCAAAAGGTGGTCTTGAATAGAAGCTGTACTTAATGGTAGTTGGAATTATCGATGGGATAAATGAGAAGCACCGAAAGCAACTGTACCTCCACCGGAATTGAGGAGGTACAGCTCGCGGTCGTATACAGTGCGGGTAACCCGGGCACACCAGTGACCGGCACTGTCCCAACTTCACTGCCTGAATTCGAGGTATCCACAACTTCAACCTCACTCATTCATCAGATCAATTTCTCATCCGAGGTCTGGTGCCCGACGTTCCTCACCCAGATAAACCGAAGATTGAAACAGGAAACTCACCGTTGGAGTTCAGATCGAAGTTCTGAACTTAGTGTCCTGAAATCTTCGGTATTCTCGTCCCAACCACCCCGCTACAAGACATGGAATGAAAGCCCAGCCGATTGTCTACGAACCTCTCAGCCTATTTCGAAGACCGGCGGTCAGCCAACATGGATGCTCACGAAGACGATAGCGACATTAAGCTGCAAAAGGCCTCATCAGAGCTCATTGCAGAGTTCTCTCGCTCGCTTCCACTCTTCCTGCGCAAGCCTGATGGCAAGACCCTCTGCGCCCGCGTCAGGGTGTCAGAGACCTCACGTCTGACTTCAAGCGTAGATACCCCCCTGCACTGAATCTCATATCCCTCTACATCGAAACACATTCAATACATGATTCTGACACGTCTCATAGCTCCTTGATCCATTTCAAGAACTGCCTCAGCTACTGGATCCTCATCTACCAGAGTGGCTCCCCCTCCTTGCATCAACGTATCTGGAGCACCTCAACACCCGCTCCCGGGCCCGGGCCCGGCCATCGGCTTCAACCCGCTCCCAGCTCCTGGAACCCCTGAACCTCGCCATCGCCAAAATCATCTACACCTTCACCAAGATCCGCGGCGAAAAGGTTATTGTTCGCTTCCTCAACGTCGAGTCCCGCCACATCGAGCCCCTTCTCTCGGCCCTTGAAGCCTCAGAGCGCGCCTCGTCAACTGCACGCCCCGCGCTCAACCCCCTTTCTTCGCCCCAGTCATCCTCCGCAGCGGCAACATCCTCATCGGGTGCCATAGCACAATGGTCCTGGGAAGAGCGCTACCTCGTCCTCCTCTGGCTCTCACACCTCCTCCTCGCCCCTTTTGACCTCTCAACCATCTCCTCCGCCTCCGCCGACCCGGACCTCACTCTCCCCACGATCCCAGACTTCGACTGGCCCGATGACCTCCCCGGAATCACCGTCCGCATTCTACCCCTCGCTATCAAGTACCTCGCCACGTCCGGCAAAGAGCGCGATGGCGCCCGCGCCCTGCTCATCCGCATCGCCATGCGCCGCGACATGCAATCCCAAGGCGTCCTCTCCGCCCTCATCCACTGGTCTCTCGCCTCCCTGAAACCTTCATCATCCTCCGACGCCGCGACACCGGCACCGCCGCAGCCGCCCTACTTCTACATCGGCGTCCTCTCCTTTCTCGCCGGCGTCCTCCGCTCGTCCATAAACACCTCCGATATGGACGCCTACCTCTCGCCCATCTTCCTCACCGCGCATGCAGTCGCCTCGGCTGAAGACCCCCAGGATACCACGGCCACGGCCACATCCACCCCGTCCCTCTCAAGCGCTATCCGCTCCGTCGCCGTAGCGCGCAAGATGCTCATCAAAGTCATTCGCTCCGTCACGGTCCTCCTTCTACGCAGCAACAGGTCCCCGTCAGATCAGCAGAGCACCGACGAACTAGTCGAATTGTCCATAGGTTACCTTCTAGAATCCCTTGCCGACAACGACACCCCCGTCCGGCTGGCCGCCTCTAAAGCCCTCAGCATCGTCACCCTCAAGCTTGACCCGGACATGGCCTCTCAAGTCGTCGACGCCGTCCTGGACTCCCTCAACCGCAACGTCTTTTGGACCCGCGACCCGGGCACTCCCAAAGGAGCCTCTTCTGCCACCACCACGCGCGACCTTACAGCCGTCGACCCCCTAGAATGGCACGGCCTAATGCTCACCCTCTCCCATCTCCTCTACCGCCGCTCTCCACCCGCGTCTCAACTTCCCGCCATCGTTCACGGCCTCCTTCTCGGCCTCTCGTTCGAAAAACGCAGCACTTCGGGCGGTTCCATCGGCACAAACGTCCGCGACGCAGCCTGCTTCGGCATCTGGGCCCTCGCACGCCGCTACACCACCCCGGAACTCCTCGACGTCCCCACCGCCGCCGTCGTCGCGGCACGCAGCTATCATCGCGCCGTATCCAACGTCACCATCCTACAAGTCCTCGCCACAGAGCTCACTGTGACAGCGTCTCTCGACCCGGCAGGCAACATCCGACGCGGCGCCTCGGCCGCCCTGCAGGAGCTCATCGGTCGGCACCCGGATACCGTCGAAAAGGGCATCTGGGTCGTGCAGGCTGTAGACTATCACACCGTCGCCCTGCGCTCGCGTGCGGTACACGACGTCGCGCTCAGCGCGACTAAGCTTTCGTTGCAGTACGGCGCCGCTCTGCTGGATGGCCTGCTCGGCTGGCGGGGCATAGGCGACGCCGATGTCGTCTCGCGGCGCGTGGCTGGCGCGTCGTTTGGTACGCTCACGCTGGAGCTCGCGCGACAAGCTGGATCCGGGCCTTCGTCGTCTCCGTCTGGCGGGTCTGGAAACGACGACGTTGCTCAGTTCACGGCGTCCATCGAGAGGGTGCTCGCGCGCCTGCGTACGCTCCAGACGCGCCAAGTCGACGAGCGACATGGTCTCGTTCTCTGCCTCGCGTCCGTCCTGGATAAGTTCCCCGAGCTGCTTGCCGGCAAGCCGGTCGATAGCGTCACTGGAATCGCTCACCGCATCGTCCGTGAACTGGAGGTCCTCTTCAAGGAATTCCAGACGACGACGTATCGTCGACCGGAGCTAGTCGCCGAAGCGTACAGCCGTTTAATCACTTCATCATTCCCTATCCTACAAGCTACTTCATCTCCCAAAGGCGCAATCATAAACTTAGAGCCAGGCTACAGGGTCGTCTCAACAGATAACACCGAAAATCTACTCCATGCCATCAAGACGACCGACAACGCCCAGGATACCAACATAATCCCCGACGGCGTAACGAGCTTGGTCTCGACTTTTACCCCCATCGTCAGCGCAGGCCTCGTCCGCACAGAAAAGGAAGCCGTCGCCGCGTCCTCGGAAGCAGCCCTCGTCCTCCTCGTCTTCTCCCCCGCACAAGAGCGCACGCGCATCGTCACAGAATGGGCCGGCGCCGTGCGGCAGCGGCCTACATCGCGCGCGGCCAGCGACACGGGCGCGCTCTATGCGCTGACGATGGCGTACCCAGTCACGACTACGTTTAGCGACGGCGGCAGCAGCGTCGTCTGCGACACCATCCTCGCTCGATGGGCCGGCGACAACGACATTGACACGCGCGTGGCGATCCTGCAGGCCCTCTCGCAGAGCGGTCTGCTACGGGACCAGGCGCTCGTGTTCCTCGACCTGCTGGCGGAGGGTCTGAACGATTATACGACGAACGCGAGGGGCGACGTCGGATCGCACGTCAGGTTGGAGGCGCTCAAGGCGACGAGGTCATTGTGGACTATGGCTCTTGGTGTGGATCGGTCTCATTCTGTCATCAGGGGAACCAATGATCACAAGACGGAATGGCTTGCCGCGGCGGTCTCGAAGCTGTTCCTTCGGACGCTGCGTCTAGCTGCTGAGAAGCTGGATCGCGTACGGACTGAAGCGCACGCGGTCCTTGCTCTGACTGTTGAGCCTAGGTAAGGAATACCTCCCCCCCCCCCCCCTTTCCCCCCTTAATCATCTTTGACAGTCGTCTCATGAACGGCGAGGGAACGAAAAACAAAAAGGCCCCCAACTAACAAAGTATACACACACCAGCTTCGCAACAACCTTTACAAAGCTCACCTTTTCGTCAAAAACCTACTTCCAAACCCTCCTAAACCTCTACGCGACAGAAAACAGCCTGCAGCCACCCATCGCGGAGCCGGCCAGGGCCGACGCGGGGGCCTGGATGGCGGAGCTGCTGGCGGGATACGTCACGTCGGCCGACACGGGCAACGAGGACCTGGTCATCGCGTCCCGCGCGGCGCTGGCCGACTTTTGCGCCGCGTCGCCGCGTCACCTGGATGCCGTCTGCGTGGCGCTGGTGAGTAACGTCAAGACCAGGCAGACGCCGGGCCGGGGCCAGGGAGACCGCGTGGTGGTGCCGACGCTCGAGATCGTGGCGTTCCTCTGCCACGTCGGGCTCTTCCGAAAGTGTCGCGGGGTCGACCTGCGGCACCTGTGCCTGCAGGTCCAAAAGGCGGGTTACAAGACGGGTAATGTGAGGAAGCTGGAGGCTTGTATCAAGGTGTACGGCTGCGTGGCTGGGTTCGACGAGGTGTGTGCCGGTGTAACTGAGGAGGACCTCGGAAAGGAGGAGGAGGAGGAGGCGGAGGAGATACTACGGGGTAAGAGACGGGACGGTATCTCAGAGGCTAGGAAGCGGCTCGGCGCGTTGATGTTTCATCCCTGGCCGAGGGTGAGGAGCCTTGTCGTCGACGAGCTGTGGAAGCTGTTTGGGGAGCAGGAGGATGAGGATGAGCATGGCGGCGGCGGCGGCGGCGGCGAGTCGCTCAAGAGCGTCGACTGGAGTAAAGCCGATAAAGCCTCCATCAATCGCGTCGTGGAGCAGTTTGCATTGTCTCGGGCAGCCTAGGATAGTTCAAACCATAAACCATACACCATCATAACAATGCGAGCGTCTGGCTTGGGTTGTGCAGAAATGCTGCGACGAGAGATGTCCTTTTTTTTCGTCCCAACTAC